TTGACTCTTGCATTTCACATCTCTTGTAAAAGGAGCTTGAATTTTACCTCTCTTCCAGCAGGTGCTTCACAGTGTTGCTCCTCTCCAGCAGGCTCCCAAAAGTCACACTCTGGTGTCGTGTTGGTGCGGGCAGTGGCATGGCAAGGTAGCCATGGAGTGGGGGTCTGTGCCCACCAGGGCCCCTGGCACATGTTTGGGCAGGAACGGTTTGTCAACCACTGCAGCAGCCACCTGTGGTGGGACCAGCAGCCAGGGCACCCCTGTGGTGCCCACTTTGATTCTTTATTCCTTTAACCTGACACCTTTTGCCGGGCTTCATGAAATCTCCATTAGCTCCATTGCAGATGAAGTGCATTTCAGCCTGAGCAGCAGCAGTTGTTGGGCATGGTGTTTCAATTAAGCTGTGGGCAGATCAGTGCATGCTTCTGCAGCAGCTCCTGCAGGGTGGGAATCTTGGTGTCTTCAAGGTTTTCTGGAAGTTTGTTCCCTACATGGATCTTTCAGCTTGAGAGTACCATGTTCCCAGACCCTCCTACTTGCCAAGGGTGTTCGCCAGGGAGAGAGCAGGTGTTAGGCAGGATGCTGCCACCGAGACGCTTGGATAGTGCAGCAGGGAAAAAACATATCCCTTTGCTTCCAGCTCATTTGGGAAAAAAAAAAAGGTATCCTCCTTACATGAAGCCTGCCGTGGCTGCAAGCCACCAAGTGTCAAACCAGTGAGAAGGCTCAGCGAGATTCCCACCAACCATTCCTACAACTGACTCAGGTGAGCATCACTCGTGCATCGCCAAACCTGGAATGACAAAATCTCCTAGAAAAATTACTGTAGCTTTTAAAAAATAATTTTATTTCACTGTTTCTAGACTTTTAAAAATCAGAATTAAACTTTCATGGTGCACTGATAGTTTCTGCTTCCGGGAAGATCTCTGTCCAGAAGCTACAGTTCAGAGCATGTGCTGCAGTATCCACTGTGGCTTATGTCCTTGGACTGAACGTGCTGGGCTCAGTCGCTGAAAATGAGATGTGCAGTGCTGGGAATACACAATGCTGTGGCCCAAACTAGGTATAAATAAACCAAAATCCAGGCAGGACATGACAAAGAGTCTGACCCCAACTTCTTAATTTTCTTGACTCCGTAGTTGATGATTTTAAAAGATAAGGAAGCCTGGTTTGGCTGTATCTTTTGTTTTGCAACTGAAACTTCCTGCACTGTCCCTGATTTTGAGGGTTTGAGGCTTTGTTTTGCTTTTTTTTTTTTTTTTTTTTTTTTTACAGATGTATTATTTAAATGGTTACCTTATCTTTTTTTCCTTTTGAAAAGGTTGACATGATTTTTAGTGCAGTACTATATGGGTATAACATGCAGTGTTGAAATTCACACCAAGTATGTTTTCAAAAGCCCTTTCCTTGCACCTGTTTTCTTTCTCGAGGTATATCACTTTCAAGAAAATGGCAAGAAGCTCCATTAAGTTCCAGGACCAGAATGACACTGAAATAATCTAATTAGGATGCATCTCCCATGAGGAAGATGGCAGAGGCTGTGAGATGCTCCCATGTGGCTGAAGTGCTAGTGGCTGTGAAGCGAGTGGTCAGGGGACTGCTGCCTGCTGGTGATAAGATCAAAGTGACAAGCAACAGAAGGGCCAGCCCTGAGGACACTCAGCCTGCCGTAAGCCAGTCTGCGGCATTTTCGGCTTCTTGCACTGACCAAGGCCCTGATCTTTCCTGGAAAGCTAATGCTCTGAGAACCTGTTCTCTTGCAATTTTCCTGCATTAGTGCTTTTCTGTCAGCGCATGAGCTCCCATGCAGTGGTGGAGGCAGCTAATGGGGTCTTTGGATGTGCAAGGGGAGGGAACAAGGTCATTTATCACCTCTGCTGATGGTGCTGGGGGGATAGATAGCAACGTGAGCAATTTTTTTATAAGGGATAAAGATAGGGTGTGGAAAAGAACAACAAAAATACGGAGGTTGTTTTCTTTAGCAAAGACAGAACAGCATCTGATTGAAGTAAGTCACAAATGCTTCTTCCTAGGGAGAAAATACTGTAGAATAAAGGTTTCTCTAAGGGAGAAAGCCCAGGAGGAAACAAGGGGCTGAACCAGCTCCCTCCTGCCAGGCTGTGGTGCCCATATTGCCCAAAGCTCTGGGATTTCCTGCAGCTACCTCCACCAGAACATGTCCCCTGCCCTCCTCATCCTTCGCACGTGCAGTCTTTGAAGCCCCGCTTTTTCTTGGGGGTGTGGCGGACATCGTGCCCATCCTTCCCGTGGCAGCTCTGAAGACTTGTGACCACTTTCAGGTGCTTGCAGCCCAAAACCTGCCCTTCCTTTCTGAGCTTCCCTTGCTTTGCTGGTGATGGTTCCATCCCATCTTGCAGAAATGGGGTATCCTCCGGAATGGTCTGTCATACTTTGCTTCCATATTGGCCTTCCAGGAACAGGAGGATGGTAATTCTCCATCCTTGTGAAAGCTCAGTTCTGAGGCATGTTGTGCTGATAACTTGTTCTGACCCAAACCTCATGACTCTGGAGATACTGCATTGTCAGCAGATGGACTTTTAGCATTAGTCTTCATTTGCACTGTTAGTAAAGGATTACTGTTAAGTGCTGTTAAAAGATAGAAAATAATGAGGTGTAAAATGTGTGTCTTTATGAGCAGAACAGACCCTCACCTGATTGCATGCCCCAGGGAATGAGGGCCCCAGCTCCTCTCTCAGCTGATATTTTTCTTCCTGAGGAAACCTCCAGTTTGGTCCTCAGAAGTCCTTTCCCTCCATTATCAAATCTCACGTGGGTCCATGTGAGTTTTCCCTTCCACTGCAGAAACCTTTGAAGGCTGTAGGCTGTAATGTCTTGAACTGTAGTTTGTCATTTGTCTTAGTCATAATTGCATGACTGGTTTTTAATATTACTTGGCAAGGGTATTAATTTTCTTTAAGAGGTGGCATCACACATGGTTTTACAACTTGTTTCTTCTTGATGAGTTACACAGGTGAATCTTTATAGGTCATATTTCAGGGTTTCTTTAAGAGGAGGAAATTAATTTACTGCCGTTAGGCACATTAAAGTGATAATTAAGACATTCCACTGCATTATACAGCCTGTCTCCTAACAAAAGTGTTTCTTTGCAATATTTTTTTTTTTTCATGTTGTAATTGGAAAGAAAGCCCTTAGGTTTTTAAAAAATTCTTATGGACCTTGTTTCCTTCAGGCCTTTCCCAGGTCTCTGGCTGCTGCCCTAACACTCTTCTCGTGGTGTTACAGCTCTATCTCAGGCACTCTTGTGGCTGCCTCTTCCCTCTTTAAATAGTTAATTAGCAGCCATTCATGCCCTCACCCTGCAGCCCTGGGATCACCTGGTTCCCCTCTAATCTCAGGCCCTTCACCAAGACCATGGTGAAACCTATCAGAGAAGCCCCATCAGTAACTGTGGGGCAAATGCCTTGCAGGTCCATCTGAAAACAGAGAAATAATGCCAAGAGCAGAAATCAGCTAACGCACAAGTAGAAAACCTTTTGCGTCATGGGTTCGATGAAATACAGAAACTGTGAAGAGACCAGGGAAAATGTGAATTGTCCTTCCTGTACTGGTGAAGGGGAAAAGGTGAATCACCCTTCCTGTATGGTGAAGAGGAAAAGGTGACACGTCCTTCCTGTACTGGGTTTTAACATTGGTTGGCTTTTTTTTTTCGCTCACTGCTTTCCTTCTCTCTGGGGGCAGATGGAAAACTCTGTGTCAGAAATTAAAAATACATCTGTTCTGGGTTCGTAGTTTTGAAGAGGGTTTGTTGAAGCTGCCTTAAAAACTAGTCCCACAGAAAGGATAGTAAATCCGTGAGTAATTAGCCGTGTCCTTTCATAAACAATGTGAAAGGTGACCAAAGCGTCTTGGTGTCCTCCAAAGAGGCAGCAGGACTTGGAGGCAGATCCCACTGCAGTGATCCCCTCAAAGCTGAGGAGGGATGGGAGGTCCCAGAGCTGGAGGAGCTGATGGCCCTGGGCAAGGAAGCTGCTCGGACAGCTCCAAACAAGGGAAGATACCAATATGAGTCCCCTCAGTGGAATGGTGACTGGGAAGATTAATGCACAATAACAGATTTCATTACTCTAAAGGTTAATTTCATTAACTGTATTAACTGTTAATTTCATTACTGTAAAGGTTAATTTACAGATTTCATTACTCTAAAGGTTACCCCTGTACTCGGCACTGGTGAGGCCGCCCCTCGATTCCTGTGCTCAGTTTTGGGCCCCTCACTACAAAAAGGACATTGAATGACTCGAGCGTGTCCAGAGAAGGGTAACGGAGCTGGTGCAGGGTCTGGAGCACAGGTCGTACGGGGAGCGGCTGAGGGAACTAGGGGGTGTTTAGTCTGGAGAAGAGGAGGCTGAGGGGAGACCTCATCGCCCTCTACAGCTCCCTGAAAGGAGATTGCAGAGAGCTGGGGATGAGTCTCTTTAACCAAGTAA